TGTTCCTCACTGCCTCTGAAGTCTAGATCTCTGATTCCAAGCTGGGAAACACTTGGTTGGGCTTCCCTGCTGAAGTAGCTATACTCTGGCCCTGCATGAGGGACCAGGGGACCCGAGGGCCCCCGGCTGCTGCCTGCCTCTCTTGGCCACCATCTTGTCTTTCTTTCTGGCCCGTGGGGCTGTCTGTGGTAGGAGTCCTCCTGTCCATCTGAGGATAAATACCTCCTAAGATGCAGCAGAACCCTTCCACTCCCTCTCACTTCTGTGTGTCTGAGGGACCCACCAGTCCATATTCACGTCAAAGGGCAGTGATATTTTTAAAAATATATATTTCTTTATTGATTTCAGAGAGGAAGAGGGAGAGATAGAAACAATCAATAAGAGAATCATTGATTGGCTGCCTCCTGCACGTCTCCTACTGGCGATCGAGCCCACAACCCAGGCATGTGCCGTTGGCCAGAATTGAACCTGGGACCCTGGCTCTATCCACCGGGCCAAACTGGCTAGGGCTGCGCCCATTATTTAGCCTATGGTAGTTTCCAGCCGTGGGTGCCCATTCGAATCACCTGGAGAGCTTTAAGAACAACTCTGGCCAAAACCGGTTTGGCTCAGTGGATAGAGCGTCGCCATGCGGACTGAAGGGTCCCGGGTTCGGTTCCGGTCAGGGGCATGTACCTGGGTTGTAGGAGATGTGCAGGAGGCAGCTGATCGATGTTTCTCTCTCATCGATGTTTCTAACTCTCAAAAAAGAACAACTCTGGGCCAGCCCAGAGGCACCGATTTATCTCACGGAGGGTCGGGCTGGGGCATTGGTGTTCTAAAAAGCCACCCAAGTGATTCTAACGCGCTGAGGTGAGAACCCTGTCGGTCTTGAGCTTGCCCTGCCCTGGCGCATTCTTGGTGACTCCCTCAGAGGCTTCACGCACGTACATTTAGGGACAAGGTTTTTAAACCAGCAGGCCCACTGTTCACCACAAAAGCAGTCCTATAGCTCTCAACCTAAGCACCTAGCATGAGACGTGTACACAGATGGCCCACTCCCCCAGGGTGTCTCTGAGGCTGGCCAGCCCTCAGTTGTGGGCAAACTGAGCAGAAACAGTGTTGCCTGGCCAAGAGCCGCTGTTCCTGGCAGGCGCTGAGGAACGCCAGAGTTGCCCTGCCAGAGCCTGTCAACTGTTTACCGCCAACCCCTCCACTCCAATGCTGAAAAAGGAACTTAATTCGTCTTCCTTGGAGAGGAAGATGGGCCCAAATTAGCAGTGGAGCCCTCGGCAGAAAAGACACGAAGGGTGGAGAAGAACAGGCCAGCTGTGTCCACGCAACCACACCATTTATTGCCGTGGTGTCGGGGGGGTACACCACGAGAATGCCAAAGTGCATCGAGGAGGGGAGTGAGTGTGACTCCTGGATGCTTGAACCTTTTCAGAATCCAAGAGTCCAGACCCAGTCTGCCCACTGAGCTTGCTCCCATCCCACTCCCACACCCACGCGTGCACAACGCACGCATGCACACGCCCGGTGTCCTTCAGCAGAGCAGGTCAGTCCTCCCCAGCGTGGAGGAATGCGGGAGAGGTAGAGGTCACTGAGTTTCCTCCTCTTTCATGTCACCTCTTGGCAACCCGCAGCTGGCTTCCCGAAGCGGCATGGGCAGGAAAAGGAAGCAAAAGGGGCTCTGGCCTGCTCCTCCTTGCCCAGGAGCAAAGCCAGCAACTGCAGTCCTGCTGTGAGGTAATGCCTGGCGCCGCCTGTGTGTTCCCGCAGGTCGAGACAGATTCGGGCCGGGTGGGGTGGCAGCCCCAGCCTCAGAGGGCATGCAGGGAGAACGCCAGGACTGCAGCCTGTGCCCCAGCCCCTCCCTGCCAGGCCTTGGGGCCTGCAGTCAGGTGGGCATCCTGGCCTCATCTGTACCCTGAGCTCCCTCGCTCCCCTGGAAGGGCATTCCATCGAGAACACTGTGGGCTGGGCCTGGCCTCCCCCGGTCTCGAGCCCCTCTGCCCAGGTGTTGTGGACCTGCTGAGACGGGTTCAGAAGGCGCCAGAGAAACCAGCTGGAGCTGGAGCCTGGCACCAGTCCCCGGCTCCCCAGGCCCTCTCCCGCCCTGGTGGAGTTGCATCAAGGTTCTCATTAGCAGCTGCCCCCGCCTGGGCGCGGAGCAAGCTTTGGCCATTTGCCATGAGGCAGTTGGGGATTTTGCAACAGTCTCCGGGAGGGCCAGGCAAGAAGAATGGGCTACCCCTGCCATCCACTGCCCCTTCCACCAGGGTTAAGTCAAGAAGCCAGGAGAAAAAAAATGTCAAGTCTTAGCAGAATCTATGGTACCTAGTGTGACAGAGTCTGGGCTCCCATGCCCTCATCTGTCTGACCTACAGTCCTGACCAGCCCTTGCAGCTGTCAGCTCACACCCTGTGTGCCCACTGGGATTGAATCACAGGTCTTGGCCTCAGCCACACATGGCCTGTGGAGAGAGGTGACAGTCCCAGAACACAGGAGGGTCTGGGTCCCGACGCTCACCTGGCCATCACCCAGCTCCCCTGGGAAGACACCATGCTGCCCGGGAGGCCCCCTCTTTTACTCCTTGGCTCTGGTACCTTGGCGACCCACTTCCTGAAGCCCAGCCTAGCGTAGCCAACAAGGCAAGGTCTCCTTGAGGTGAACTGGGAGCCGAAGCCTAGGCCTCCACAGAGGCAGAGGCCCCTGGATACAGAGGAGACAGAGCCAAGCCCCTGCCCCGGGAGAAGGGTGGCGGCGGCTGTGCCAGGCGGGAGGGGAGGCAGCTCCGGGCAGAGGTGAGACAGGAGCCTTCCCTCCCGTCATGCTCCTGGCTCAGACGTGCCCTTCCAGGGGTGGGGGGAGGTGCAGGTGAGGACCCTGTGGGGGGAACTTGACAAAAGCAATGGCAGCCAGTTCCTTGCAGAATTCCTCCAGTACCACCACTCCCTGGAGAAGGGTCTGGTGGTCCAGCCTGAGGGGAGAGCACAGAGTCATGGCTGGAAGGCAGTGGGTGTGCCCCCAGTGTGGCCTCCCAGGGTCCCTAAGGCATAACCCAGTGGCAGACCCCTGAGTGAGAACAGAGCTCAGCAACGGGCTCTCTGCGCCAAGGCATGGGCTGCCCCCCTGACCCTGAAGGACCCGCCCTCCCACCCAGAGCTCTGCCCCAGGCACCCACTTCTCTTGGTTACTTACTGCTCCCCAGGAATATGACCCATCAGCTGCTTGCGCACCAGGAGCAGTTTGCCTGGGAACTGGGGTACCCTCTGAATTCTCTGCATCAAGTCCCCAATTACCTAGAGCAGGAACAAGAGGACTGAGGTGGGGACCGGTGACACTCAAGCAAGGTCCCATGGCTCTGCTGCACCATGGCAGGGTGGTACCTGTGCTTTCCCCTGGCACTGACTAGGGTCCCCACATCTTCAGCTCCCAAGCCCCTGTCCTGTCCCCTCCATTCCTGCCCAGCACTGACACACTGCCAGGCGTCCTTACCCGGACAAGCACAGAGAACAGGCTCCTGCAGCCAGGGGCCAGGCTGATGTAGGGGTCCAGGAGGTACTCATGGATAAGGGGGTGAGGGAAGAGGGCGAGCCGGGACAGGACTGAGGTCACTTGCAGGTTCAGGCTGTATGGCTGCAGGGAACATGGTGGGCAAACCAATGGCTGTCAGGGGGTGGTGAGCATTTCTGCACTCCCCCAGAAAGGCGCCTGGCCGGTGTGAACGTGTGCGGGGGTGGGAGGCTCACATGATGTGTGTGTGTCATGGATCCCTGGGGCTGAGGGCCAGAACGTGTTAGGGCGTGTGGAGCAGAGGCGAGACGGGGCTTCCCGCCTGGGGAAAGGGGCGGGGGGGGCATGGAGCTGAAGAACCGAAGACGACTCGACCCCCGTGGCCAAGCCCTGCTCTTCCCAAGGATTCCAGAGGCACCCACCTGGGGTGCCACTGTGGGCCCCACCCTCTGGCTGAGGCCCAGGCCTGTTGGCTACCTGTTCCAAAATCCGGGACATGCGGTCAAACAGCATTCGGAGGAAGTGCCCCTCAAAGAAAGGCCGCTCCGGCTCGTGGGGGTCCAGAGGGGTGAGAGCCAGGGGCCAGCCCCAGGGACTGACGCGGGAGCTGCACTCCTGGAACTGGAGCAGGAGGGAGAGTTGAGAGGAGGCCCGTGGTCAGGAGGCCCCGGCACACAGGGGCCACACAGGAAGGTGGACTCAGGGCTCTTGGCTGGAGCTGGAAGTGCCCTGGAGGAGCTTACAGAGGGAGAAATCTTTGAGGGGCAAGGAGTGGGCACTGGCAGAGGCCTCCACACTCACCAGTCCGTAGGCATCGTGGACATAAGTGTCATATCCGGTCTCCTCCAGGTAGGCGGAGGTCTTGGCCTCCTCGGGAACCAAGCAGAGGAAGCTGAGAGACAGGACCCTCGGTGTGGGGGGGCCCTCCTGGTGCCACGCTCACCCTGCTCCGTCTCCTCCTGGAGGGGAGGGACATCCCCTCCCGGGCTGCGCCCCTCAGGGGTATGGCCAAAGACGGAGCAAACCCACGTGGCTCAGACTTCCTGACCTGCCCCCTACCTGTTGACGATCTCAGTTACCGCCGTTTTGCCATCTGAGTTGGTGGCGGGGGCTGGATGGGGCTTGGCCGAGTGCTGGAAGCCGGCATCGAGGAGGCCGTCTGTGAAGTAGGGATCCTCCTCTAGGTCTCTGTGGCCAGGGTACACATGCATGGCACCGAGGAACCAACAAAAGAACGAGTGTGGGGCTGGGGTGGGGCCGGGACCTCCCGGGGGTGCAGGGTCTCACTTACAGATTGTCTTCGTAGCTCTCGGGCTCCTGGGAACCCCGGGCCGCGTACAGGCGGCCCTCGAGGTGGCACAGGACCAGGCTGCGGATGATCTGTTCGTGGGGCTTCTGGAGCAGCTCCTCAAACAGCCGCAGCGTGGCGATGCTAATCTGGGGCAAGAAGGGGTCAGCAGGATGCCCCTTCCTGCCCCAGCTTCCGGGAGTGCCTGGAGTCGGCTCACCCAGACAAGAAAAGTACCCCTAGAAGGGGATCCCCACCTCCCTGGCAGGTTTTGGGGGGAGTGGATGGGTGGTGGCCTGGGAATCAGAAGTCTGGCTGGTCTTGGTTCTATTATTAATTTGATTTGCAATGATAGTCAAGGAAATGGGCTTTTCTGTGCCTCGGTTTCTATGTCCGAAAAATGGAGTCCTGGCCTCATCCACCTCAGAGTGGCCAGTAGCCTGAAAAATGTCCCATGAATGGAAAAGCGGTGTGCAGAATAGAAAGTATGTGATCACAGACAGCTACCGTGTGACAAGAGCCGGCTGGCTACCATCACTGTTTCTTTTTGGTGGGGAGGGGTTCAACGTCTCAAAGGCAGAACCACCTGGACCACTAGTGAAAGTGGGAGACCTCAGGAATCCCTTTGGCAGGGGTGGGGCGGGAGCGCGTGGAGACCAGGGCTTCCACCTCACCTCATCAGAGAGGTGGTCGCAGTGCCTGATGAGGTGAGCGCACGGGGTGCAGGGGCTGTCCTCGGGGGCTGCCGGCCGCTGCTCCGAGCCCAGGAGGAAGGCCACGGCCTCTCCAAGCAGCGCAGGGGAGCGGAGCTGACGCAGCAGGGCCGTCAGCAGGGCCGTGGAGGTCAGGACGCTCTGCTCAGACCTATGTGGACAGAACACTGAACCAGGCAGGGAGGGGAGGCCAGAGGGACAGGGAGGGGCTGAGTGGGAGGATGGGGGAACCCTTCCTGGTTTCCTTACATCGCCAGCTGGTGTCTCTCTGCTCACTCCCACCCTCCTGAGGTCATTGAGTCCCAGGGCGTAGGCCTTTGCTAGCCCACAGTGGCTCTCAGCCACGTGTGTGTGTGTGTGTGTGTGTGTGTACTGTCCTAAATGAACCGAAGGAGCCCACAGACTCATGGGACGCTGGCTAAGGAGGTCCCTGGCTGTAGGGACAGGAAGGGGCAGACGGGGTGGGCGGTTCGATCCACACTATGTCCACATCTGAGGGGCCTGGACATAGACTTACACATGTAGGAGCTGCGGCTGCAGGATCTCCATGAATAACTTCTCAGCCACAGCCTTTGCCAAGGCATCCGCAACCACCTGGGCACCAAAGAGCACGTCTTAAACACGTTTCCACCGAAAATAACTGTCCTTGCACAGCATCCAACACAACAGCAGAGCCCTCAGTTCTCCAGGAGACAGAGATGACAGCAGCCTGACTCACCGCGTGCGCCTCCATGATGAGGTGGTCACAGTAATCGAACCAGCCCAGAAAGGCAGCCAGGGCCTCTTTGCCCGGGAAGTTACCCTCATCAGACGGGGCACTGGGTAACCTGCGGGAGAGCGAGGGAGGCTGTGAGGCCTGCCCCAGCCGTTCCAGAGGGAGCTGGGCCCTTTCTCTCTCTGCCCTGGAACCTCTCTTGCAGGTGGGGAGGTGGGCCGGGGCACAGGGTAGGGTGGTCAGTTCCACAGGGAGCTCTGTGGGTAGAAGCAAAAGTGATGTTTCTCTGTGGGTGAGAAAGCCCTTAGGGCGGGCTGTAACCTTGGGAAGGAGGTGCCAGCCAGGGTCCCCATCCCTCCTGGAAAACAAGAGGAACCGGCTACCAGAAGACAGGCAGGGCTTCCAGCCACTGCAGATGCAGCCCCCCTTCCCTGGCCACCTGCCTACCTCCAGGTGATGCCCTCTAAAGCAGCAATGTCTGCAGGGTCCAGAAAGGTGGGCAAGGACTGGTACAGCTGGCAAAGGTGCTTCACAATCGCAGGGCAGCAAGGGCTGCTCCGCACCAGGTAGGTGGCGGCTGCCTGGGGAGCCACGCTAACGAGGAGCAGCAAGTTCTCCTGGGCCTTCAGAGCCACACGACCTTTCTAGGGGACAGGGACACAACTTCAGGGCATGCACCTGAGCTGAGTCCCCCTGTCTCCTCCCAGCATGCACCCGGTCCAGCACCTTGCTCTTGCACAAGCCAACCAGGGAGGTGATTAGGTTGCTCTCCCCGATCCCCTCATCGGGCTCCTGGGGCTCAACAGGCAGCTGGGCGGTCAAGGCCCCGTCCCCGTCAGGAGCCTTGCAGTGGGGGTGGTCCTGGTCCTCGATACTGGCCGTCTCTCTAGGCAGGGCTGTGGATTCCTGGGATGCTTTCTTCTGAGCGACAGTTTTTTTACCCTGCAAAGGAGGCTCGGTGAGGCCAGGCCTGGTGGAGACCACTCCCCACGCTGCCCCTTGGGAACGCAGACGTGCTAACTGTCAGGGGCTCGGCATGGAGCGGAAGGGGAGGCACCCCGAGTGCCTCTGTGAGATGGGGTCTGGGCCGCTCCACTTCTGTTTGCTGGAGACACTCACTTCCAGGATGTAGGTGAGCAGGGCTGGGTCCTGCTGGATCTTGGAGCAGAGGACGGTGGTAAACTGCACCTCCTCCTTCTCTGTGAGGGATCCGGGAGCGCCCCCAAGCCGGAGAAGTTTCTGGAAGGGGAGTAGGATAGAAACAGAGGGGAATGGGTGGCAGGGAAGAGAGGGGGCTGCACCCCCAGACAGCCCTTGGCTTCCCGGCCCCTCACCTGCACAGGCCTGTGGACGTTGAGGTAATGCAGGAGAGGGTGCTGGACCTGGGCCAGAACCTTGCTGAAGAACTGGAACACCTGCTGCCGCATGCCGGGGGGGTACTGAGGGGCAGGCAGAGGGCCGGTCAGGAGAGGGAGCTGTGCCCTCCGAGCACTGCCCCCTCCCTACTGCCTGGAGGGCACCTTCTCTGCCAGCCGCCTTCCCTGTCGGAACCGGCCCCCTCTGCGCTGCCCGTCCCCTTCCCACTCCATTTTTCTCCACAGCCTTGTCATCACTGAGCACACAGTGGGCTCCTCTGTCCTAATCACTGCCGCGTCCCCTGACACACGCTGGTCCTAAGCACATCTTTGCTGAGCGAAGGCTGACTGAATAAGAGGGAGCCTCCTCTCCTCAACCTCCACGGCACCCAGCAGTGAGCGGGGCGGTGGTGGCTGTGCCCTGAGCCGGCCGTGCCCGGGGTCCGGGCTGGAGGAGCACCGGAGGAAGAGCCTGGCACCAGGACGGGGATGGGACGGAAGGCTCCGGGTCCGCACCTCGGCCTTGCCCAGCGTGCACAGGGTCTCCAGGATCTTGTGCTGCAGCAGGTACTCGAGGCAGGGCCCGGCCTCGCCCGCCGCCTGCTGCCTCTCCTCGTGCACCAGGATGTCCAGCATCTGCTTCAGCCGCCAGGGGATATCCGTCTTCTTGACCGGGGTGCTTTCATCTGCTCGAGGTTCAGGGAAAAGGGTGAGAGGGGAGATGAGCACTCTGGCTCTACGGGGTCCAGTCCAAGGGGCCTGGGGATGGGGTTGGCTGAGGGCAGGAGAGGCCAAGTGAACAGTCTGCTCCCAATAAAGGCCACAGGAAGTGGACGTTCACAGTTCATGCCTCCAAATTTAAAAACACAAAAGAACCCGGCCGGTGTGGCTCAGTGGCTGAGCGTGACCCATGAACCAGGAGGTCACGGTTCGATTCCCCGTTAGAGCAAATGCCCGAGCTGTCAATGATTCTCTCTCATAATTGATGTTTCAATCTCTCTCTCCTTCTCCCTTCCTCTCCCTGAAATCAATAAAAAGACATATTAAAACACACACACACACAAACACACAAAAGACCTTCTAGAATGAGGCCCAGGATTCAACTCTGAGAAGGTGTGCATGCCCCGCTCTTTATCCAAGGGAAGAGCATCAGTTTTGTCCAAACCCTGGGGCTGACCGAGGATCGTTGCCAGGGCTGCAGGCAGCTCTGGGCCTGAGTGAGAAGCCATGGGCCCAGGGGTCTCTGTCATATAATTCAGAATCTGTCCCCTAGCAGCTTCCCAACAGGTTATCTGGGGCCTGTTTGTCTCTTATACTCACAGAAGGCAATACTCTACTTTTTAAAAAGCAGAAATAAGATACCTGGCCGGTATTGCTCAGTGGTTAAGCATCGACCCAGGAACCAAAAGGTCACTGGTTCAATCCCTGGTCAGGGCACGTGCCTGGGCTGCCGGCTTGATCCCCAGGAGGGGTGCGCAGGAGGCAGCCGACCAATGCTTCTCTCTCATCAACGTTTCCATCTCTCTATCTGTCTCCCTTCCTCTCTCTCTAAATATCATAAAAACTTATTTTTAAAAAAGCCGGAAAAAGAAATCTGTGCACGACCTTGGGTTCAAACTCGAACCTGCGGCACCACAGAGAGGCCCGATGGAGAAGCTGGTTAGTGTGGCTGTCTTAGAGCTGCAGAGGCCGGGGTGGTTTTTAAGAGAAAGTTTTGGTACCTTGGCCCTGGAGCACCCCCTAGCTTTCCTTGAAAGCACAGGCTCTTGAGCAAGGCAGCTGCCTCATCCACTCCTGTGCCTCTGGTTATAGGGACTGTTCTGGAAATTAATGTTGGGCCCAGGCAAAGCCCCGGATGGATCTGAGTCGGCTCTGGATCCCTTACTGCTCTCTGGTGAGCTGTGGCTCTGTGTCAAGAGGTCTTTAGACTAAAAGGTACAAACGTGCAGTTATAAAATCAGTCCTAGGTGTGTAACGTAGAGTGGTGGCTATAGGTAACAGCACCGTATTGTATAATTGAAAGTTGCTATGATTGTAAAAGTTCTCATCACAAGAAAAAAATAACTACACATGGTGATGGATATTAGTGAGACTTACTGTGACCATTTCACAATCTACCCATATTTGGAATCAATATGTTATACAACTGAAACTAATATAATGTTATATGTCGATTATATTTCAATGAAAAAAAAGAGAGGGTCAGTCTAAAGTTGTTGTTCTCACCTGGGGGCATGTGCTGTCCCCCAGGGGGCATTTGTTAATGTCCGGAGAGACAGTTTTGGTTGTCACATACAAAGGGAGGGTACTGGCCTCTGATGGCTAGAGTTGGGGCTAAATATACTACAGTCATTCCCACAGCCCCACAGCAAAGACTGACCCAGTCCAAATGTCCACAGTGCAAGCCCGAGGAACCTGCTCTAACAGAGGCTTCGGGGGTCCCTCAGACAGTCCCAGGCTACTTTCTCATCTCCTGGGCTAGCTCAGGCCGGAAATAAAGCCTTTAGGACGGTGTAAGCTGGAGTCAAATCCCAATCTGAGCTCCAGGAGGGGAAGGCTAGGGGTGCAGGACAGGTTTACACGGCAGTCAGTGAGCATCCACCAACGCCAGCACACTGGCTACAAAGCAACCAATCAGACTCCATCTCCCAGTGAGCGAGCCTGATGGGCCCAGATGCCCTAGGCCAGTGATGGCGAACCTATGACACGCGAACTCATTTTTTTGGTTGATTTTTCTTTGTTAAATGGCATTTAAATACGTAAAATAAATATCAAAAATATAAGTCTTTGTTTTACTATGGTTGCAAATATCAAAAAATTTCTAGAACAATGGGAAGTTTTAAGGGCAACCTCTACACCAATCAAGGTTCTTATCAGCACAGGAAAAAATAATTTGTAATTATGTATGGCAACAGATGTTAACTAGACTTATTGTGCCGATCATTTTGCAATATTTACAAATGTTGACTCATTATGTTGTAAAATTGAAACGAATATAATGTTGTATGTTAATTATGCCTTAATAAAAAGAAAGAACCCCCCCCCCCAAAAAAAATTTTCTATATGTGACACGGCACCAGAGTTAAGTTAGGGTTTTTCAAAATGCTGACATGCCGAGCTCAAAAGGTTTGCCATCACTGCCCTAGGCTTTGGTTCCCTGGTGTGTCAGCGTGGGGAGAAGGACCTGGTATTATATGCTTTGGTTTTTGTTCTCCTCTGACCCCTCCAAGTTGGCTCAGGGAAAAGAGAAATTTGTTCAATTTCTTTCTTTCCTTCCTTCCTTCCTTCCTTCCTTCCTTCCTTCCTTCCTTCCTTCCTTCCTTTCTTTCTTTCTTTCTTTCTTTTTTTGTTAGTCCTCACTTGAGGATATTTTTCCATTAATTTTTAGAGAGAGTGGAAGGGAGGGGGTGAGACAGAGAGAAATATCAATGTGAGAGAGACACATTGCTTGGTTGCCTCCCACATGGGACCCAACCAGGGCCCAGGATTGAGGTACATGTCCTTGACTGGAATCGAACCTGCAACCCTTCAGTCTGCTCTACCCACTGAGCCAAAATGTCTAGGGCTGTTCGATTTCGTTTTCAGTCAGTCAGCCCTGAACACAGGCACTTGAAGGCTGAAGGCCTGGATGCCCCGGCTGGAAGATGGGGCACGTGGAGCTCAGCTCTGCCTTGCAGAGTAGGCCCGCGAGAGCCCCATCCTCCTCCTTCCCACTCCCACCTCCCACAGCTCCCTCGCAGAAAGTCAGAACTCTGAACTCCTGGGCAGCAGCTGTCCCTTCCCCGGGGCACCTGCACCTCTGAGCTGCCTGGTGCCTCTGCCCATCCTTTCCTCCCAGTTCCTCTCACCTGTGCTCTCGATGTAATAGTGCGTGATGCCCTTCCAGTGCTCCACAAACGCCTCCAGAAGGTCGATGGTGGGCTCCCACTGCGGAGAGAGCAGAGACATAACCTGTGTGATCAGCGGCTCCGCCGCCACGCACACTCCCAGGAATGGACATTCCACTATCTACTAAGTGCCGGGCCAGTGCTAGGACTGGGGGAGGCCCTGTGATCGTGGGTTCTCAAAAGGAATGGTAACATGTTTCCTCCAGGACACATCCGAACTGTGGCCAACCACGTCGTGGCGTCACTCCCAGACCCCGCTCCCTGCTGGAATCACTGTGTCCCTGCCACAGGTCATGATTCCACAGTCCTTGGCTCAGAGGAGCGAAGAACGCTGGTGGAAACATCAGAGAAACAGATCATTTCCGCACAACATGGTTATCCTACAACAGAGGTACGCAGAGGAAAACGGGAGCACCCCCCCCCCCCAAATCAACAAAAGCAGAACAACACAGCTGAAACACACGTGAAAGATGACGTTTTCAGGAGGGTCTGCGGAAAGCTGTGTTCAAGGCCACACGGGCTCGGTTCCGCCAGATGGGCGACAGTAGCCCAATGTGAAGAAAGTGACTCACTTCTACAGTACCTGCGGCTTCTGTCCAAGATCGGCTTGTGCAGCCCTGGCTCTTCCTTAGCTAGCTCTGCTCCCCTCCACGCCTCCTCCAGCTCCTCCTATTGGCCATGGGGGCCCCTGACTCTGCTGTGAGCAAGCCCTACGCCTCCCCCTTCCCGGTGCTCTCGCCATCTCTAAGGCCTGGCTGGTCCTGTAGTAACAACCACTTGCCCTGAAAACTGCCCCCAAAGGGCATTTCTTCTCTTTCCTTGCAGAGTAAATGTTCGCAGAGTGAAAACACATAATCAGGTGGTCCCTCTGCAAAGGTGCTCATTTCTACTCTGAATCTTTGCTCAGGCCACTCCTCAGCCAGACCCTAACAGACCCCAGTCTGGGGTCCAAGGACCAGCTCCACAAAGCCCTCGCTGGGTTCCTGGATGCATCACCCTCTAGCCCAGGGGTGGGCAAACTTTTTGACTCGAGGGCCACAATGGGTTCTTAAACTGGACCGGAGGGCCGGAACAAAAGCATGGATGGAGTGTTTGTGTGAACTAATATAAATTCAAAGTAAACATCATTACATAAAAGGGTACGGTCTTTTTTTTTCAATAGTTTTATTCATTTCCAACGGGCCGGATCCGGCCCGCGGGCCGTAGTTTGCCCACGGCTGCTCTAACCTCATGCTTTACTGCACCACAGAGCTCCCTATCTCCTCCCTAATTGATTCAGGAAGTATCTCCAGTTCCTGCTACATACACAACACCATGCTACCTGTCACCGGCAAGACAAGGATGTCTCAGGTCCAGTGCCACCAAGGAGAAGAGGATATAAAACCACACTGAGTCGCTCAACTGCAGGATGCAGTGTGAGATGAGCACACAGGAACGGTGGGAAAGAGGAGTCGCCTCCAACAGGCTGGAACAGAGAAGGCTGAGGTGACGCGGGAACTAAAACTGGAAGAACTGCATGAGATTTCGACAGAGATGAAGGAAAGACATTTCCTGCAGAAGGTTCTCTGCAAAGTGTGTCTGGGGCAAGGATGGACTGATGAGGTTTCGGAGCCTTGAATGCCAAGCCAAGAAGTCTGGAGATATATACATTTGCAGGCAATGGGGAGCAGGGCCGTGACAGCTTCAGAGCAGTATTTTAGGAAGAGTCACCTGCCAGTTGTGTGTAGGAAACAAAGGCAAGAAGAACACTTTGAAGACCACTACGACAGGGAGAGGAAGCAGTGACACTGAAGCTGAGGCCTTGGCTGCCCCGTCTTGTCTTCTTTTAAAATTAGCTGTGGGGCCCTAGCCCGTTTGGCTCAGTGGAGAGAGCGTCGGCCTGCGGACTGAAAGGTCCCAGGTTCGTTTCTAGTCAAGGGGCATGTACCTTGGTTGCAGGCATATCCCCAGTAGTGGGTGTGCAGGAGGCAGCTGATCGATGTTTCTCTCTCATCGATGTTTCTAACTCTTTATCCCTCTCCCTTTCTCTCTGTAAAAAATCAATAAAAATATATTAAAAAATTAGTTGTGGGGTTCACAGCCCTTACTAGAGTGACATCTCCCACAGTCGTTCCAAACGCACGGTGTATGACCACATCTTACCACGTTCTATTATCACTGGGTTAGCAGTCATCTCTCTACTAGACTAATAGCATCCTGGGGGTCAGGGGCACAGAGTGGCTACTCATTAATACTTACTAACTAGCTCAGCAAGCGCCTTAAGACCCTGTTCCGTACATAGTTCCTTGTCTCTTGGAATGCCTCTGACCCTTGAACAACACTGCAATTATTTCACAAGTTTGTAATGGGGGCTCATTGAACCTCCAAAGTCATTCATAGTTTCTGAAAACCTTGCACTGGCTTAACTAACTAATCCAGTAAGAGAAGTAGGAATAGGAGAATGCAGATTAGCCAAAACAGACCAGTAGAGGGAAGAAAGCAGGGGGGTACTCTTTACCTGAGACTATTGTTAGCTACTCTAACTCCAGACCAAAGAAACCATTCTAAATTTCTTTTTCAAGATAAGGGTTGCTACTCTGTTTTTTGTCAGAAGAGGGCAGGAAAGAGCAGCATGCCCCCTCTTTACCAAGGAGTTAAGCAACTTCCTGGGGTCTTAACCTGATGACCCAGGCCAGGGGAAGACCTATGTGCAAGATGTGGGGGTGCAGGGAAAAGGGGGGTTCCCATCTCTCCCGATGACCACACAGGGTCAGTTAAACTTCTAGGGTATGGCCTGTACACGGAGGGGCCTAAGACCAGCTGCCTAAAAGTATCTCCCTTGACCACCAATATTTCCTCCAGCCTCTGGCACTGAAATTCCGGCGCTTGGAGGCATTAGAAATTGACTTCCTAGGGCGAAGGTCTTGTCTGCCTGCCTCTCTGCATGGAGCTGTCCTTGAGAGGTATGAAGTAGTTTGTCAGGTCACTTTCTGAGACGACAGCTGTCTTGACTGGGGTCAGGGAGGAGAGGAAGGAGAGAGGATATGGAACCCCTCCCCGGTGGGGTGTCCTGAGGCCCCTGGACATCTGGGAGGGCCAGGCTGGGGCAGGTAGGGAAGAAGCCGGAACCTTTCACTTCGCAAGTTTGCTTAAGGCTGAGGCCATTCTCATTCATAACAATCTCTGAGTTGAGGAGGAGGGGCGTGTTGGGGAGGAAGCGAGTGGAATCCAAGGTTGTTTCTCCTGAGAAAATCCGATACACTGAACTGGTCACTAGGAGAGGGTTTGTGCCGACACAAAGGAATTGTTAACTTTACAGACAGGTTCTTGGCCAGGGTGACTGTAAGACAGGGCCTCCGCCTTCCCCATCTACACTGAACTTTATCTTACTGACGAAGTGGGCTGCCTCTCACCAGCCTCCACCCCCAACAGAAAATAGCAAAAACACAAACTCTGGTGGAACGTAAGACAGCAATACAGTCTTCCCCACAGGGCTGCTGCCCAGGCCCCACCGTGGCTGGCTTCCCCGGACTCAAGGACTCAAGGCCAGGGCAATGTGAGATACACTACATGCTGGAAACCTGCAGAAGGCTGCTCCAGGGTCAGGGCCCCCCCAAAGCTGCTCCAAGGCCAGGGCGAGGGCCAGGGCCCCCCCAAAGCTGCTCCAAGGCCAGGGCGAGGGCCAGGGCCCCCCCAAAGCTGCTCCAAGGCCAGGGCGAGGGCCAGGGGGCCTCCCCAGCTGCTCCAAGGCCAGGGCGAGGGCCAGGGCCTCCCCAAAGCTGCTCCAAGGCTAGGGCGAGGGCCAGGGCCTCTCCGCGGCGGGGAAGGGCAGCTCTTCTAAAGCCCAGGGCGCAGGAAGTGAGGAGTGTGTGTCGGCAGGGGTCGGGGGAGGCAGAGGCTGGAGGAGGGGACCCGGGGCCGGGAGGAAGAAGCTGCTGGGTGACGGAGCCCTCGGGCCCGGAGAGCTGGGAGCTGGGAGCCCGGGCGCAAGGAAATAAACAGGAAGCACTCCGGGCCATAAGCCTTAGGAGTACCCTAATTAAGTTAATTACAATGTACCTACCTATATAGTTTAAGTTTAAAAAATTTGGCTCTCAAAAGAAATTTCAATCGTTATACTGTTGATATTTGGCTCTGTTAATGAGTTTGCCGACCACCCATTGGCATGGGCTTATGACCTGTGGAGTGTAAAACAGAATAAAGACAGGCACACCTGAGTTGAGATGGTTGTGTATTTGTGTGATTATTGATTAATGCTCCTGTCCCCACCTAGACTACACCATGTGGAGGGTGCAGATGGGTTTGCTTTTACCCTCCCCTGCTGCTCCCATGCCCCCCACACCGCCTTCC